CACACAAAAAAAAACTTGTTTCAATCTAAACTTTTAAGGCACGTGCTACCGATAGCTTTTTTTATTTACCATAAACACCAACAAAAAAATAACGGTCAAAAAAATTCGTTTTTTTTCTTTAGGGCTCTGTTATTTTTTTTTTTTTCGAATCCCGGTTGATTTTACGCAATCTTTTTTGACCCCCGATGATGTCCACGACGAGTTAAAAATGTTAAAAAGACCCCTCTTTCTACGACGGCGACCGAAAACCACCCCTTGTATTATGACCGGTACTATGCAGTCGACCGACAAAATCCTTGACTCATTTCACTCAAAAAAGATGGAGAAACGAAGCGGGCCGCTTTATTCAAAATATATTTCTAACGATCTCGTCACCCTTAACTGCAATTTTCAAATGGTACGTCACTGTGAGCATTTGCATAATGTACACAAAGCGTTAGGGTCCAAAAGTCGTGAGAAAAAAAATATATATAGTCTAACCACAAAATGTAAACAAAAAAAAATTTTTTAAATCGATAATTTCGGTAATAAATCTAAAAAGTACGCAAAAAATCCTTTAATTTGACACCAAACAACGTATGGTTACGTTAAAAAACAAAGGAATTATAACGAAAATAAAAAAATTGATCGTCGATTGTTTTTTTTACAAAAACCACCATAACTTTTTTGTTTTTTAAGATAACTACGCGGTGTTTGGGATCATTTTAAAGGAAATTTAGTGCAGAATACGATTTTTAAAACAAAATAATAAAAAAAAATTAATAAAAATCGATTTTACCAAAACGATCTTAATAGATCCATCAAAACACAAAAAAGGGTGTTTAAAAGTCGCCACGAGTTTCGCCAACAATCCGATTGTGATCGATACAATGGGAAACACACTCAACAAAATCGGTTTTAACAATCGGAAGAAGAATCGAACCCCGTTCAATAAAAACCCGAGGGGGCCCCAAAACGAAAGGGGTGTTTCTCCACTTCGGATATAGATCGCGATCTATATTATTTATTTTTTCGGCGCATTGTGGCGGTAACAATGGTTATTTTATTATTATCGGCACGCGATCGGATCGTGTCAACCCCCGAAATAAAATTCGAATATTAAATAAAAAAAAATTTTAAAATTTTTTAAAAAAATATCATTCGAAATTAAATTTCCTTCAAAATGAGCCCAAACACGATGGGGTTATTTCAAAAAATGACTGAGATATCGCAAAATTAATCTAAAAACAAGTGACGATTGAATTATTGTTTTTTTACGATATCTCCGTCAATTTTAATGCTGGATATATCGAGTTTGGTCTCAAAATTAATGATTTTTAATCCTCTTTTATAATCTGATAAAAATTTTGATTCAAAAAAAAATTGTGAAAATCAAGTTGTTAATTTAAAACAAAATTAAATTAAATTTGGATTAAGGATGAAATTTCCTTCAAAATGAGTCCAAACTCGATGAGATTATCTCATAAAATCACCGAGATATCGCAAAAATTAGTCTAAAAACAAGTGACGATCGAATTATTGTTTTTTTAAGATATCTCCGTCAATTTTAATGATGGATATATCGAGTTTGGTATCAAAATTAATGATTTTTAATCCTCTTTTATAATTTGATTAAAATTCTTGATTCAAAAAAAATTTGTGAAAATCGAGTAATTAATTTAAAAAAAATTAAATTAAATTTGGATTAAGGATGAAATTTCCTTCAAAATGAGTCCAAACTCGATGAGATTATCTCATAAAATCACCGAGATATCGTAAAAATTAATTTAAAAACAAGTGACGATCGAATTATTGTTTTTTACGATATCTTTGTCAATTTTAATGATGGATATATCGAGTTTGGTGTCAAAATTAATGATTTTTAATCCTCTTTTATAATTTGATTAAAATTTTTGATTCAAAAAAAATTTGTGAAAATCGAGTAATTAATTTAAAAAAAATTAAATTAAATTTGGATTAAGGATGAAATTTCCTTCAAAATGAGTCCAAACTCGATGAGATTATCTCATAAAATCACTGAGATATCGCAAAAATTAATTTAAAAACAAGTGACGATCGAATTATTGTTTTTTTACGATATCTCCGTCAATTTTAATGATGGATATATCGAGTTTGGTATCAAAATTAATCATTTTTAATCCTCTATCATAATTTAAAAGAATTTTATACAAATTTTTGATTTAAAAAAATTTGTGAAAATCAAGTGGTTAATTTTGAATTAAATATAGATTAAGGATGAAATTTGCTTCAAAATGAGTCCAAACTCGATGAGATTATCTCATAAAATCACTGAGATATCGCAAAAATTAACTTAAAAACAAGTGACGATCGAATTATTGTTTTTTTACGATATCTCCGTCAATTTTAATGATGGATATATCGAGTTTGGTGTCAAAATTAATGATTTTTAATCCTCTTTTATAATCTGATAAAAATTTTTGATTCAAAAAAAATTTGTGAAAATCAAGTTGGTAATTTCAAAAAAATTAAATTAAATTTGAATTAAGGATGAAATTTCCTTCAAAATGAGTCCAAACTCGATGAGATTATCGCATAAAATCACTGAGCTATCGCAAAAATTAATTTAAAAACAAGTGACGATCGAATTATTGTTTTTTTATGATATCTCCGTCAATTTTAATGATGGATATATCGAGTTTGGTATCAAAATTAATCATTTTTAATCCTCTATCATAATTTAAAAGAATTTTATACAAATTTTTGATTTAAAAAAATTTGTGAAAATCAAGTGGTTAATTTTGAATTAAATATAGATTAAGGATGAAATTTGCTTCAAAATGAGTCCAAACTCGATGAGATTATCTCATAAAATCACTGAGATATCGCAAAAATTAATTTAAAAACAAGTGACGATCGAATTATTGTTTTTTTACGATATCTCCGTCAATTTTAATGATGGATATATCGAGTTTGGTATCAAAATTAATCATTTTTAATCCTCTATCATAATTTAAAAGAATTTTATACAAATTTTTGATTTAAAAAAATTTGTGAAAATCAAGTGGTTAATTTTGAATTAAATTTAGATTAAGGATGAAATTTGCTTCAAAATGAGTCCAAACTCGATGAGATTATCTCATAAAATCACTGAGATATCGCAAAAATTAACTTAAAAACAAGTGACGATCGAATTATTGTTTTTTTACGATATCTCCGTCAATTTTAATGATGGATATACCGAGTTTGGTGTCAAAATTAATCATTTTTAATCCTCTTTCATAATTTAAAAGAATTTTATAAAAATTTTTGATTCAAAAAAATTTGTGAGTATCAAGTTGTTAATTTTGAACTAAATTTAGATTAAGGATTAAATTTGCTTCAAAATGAGTCCAAACTCGATGAGATTATCTCATAAAATCACTGAGATATCGCAAAAATTAATTTAAAAACAAGTGACGATCGAATTAAGTTTTTTGTTGATATCTCCGTCAATTTTAAAAATACATATATCATGTTTGGTATCAAATTAAAGGATTTTTAATAATCTTTACGATTTTTAACTCAAATTGATTCAAATTTAAACTTTTTTATGTATATAATTTATTATATTTAATTTCAAGGTATTATTCAAACGTAAAAAATAGGAAGAAGTTAAAGTAATAACTTTCGATTTCTTTTAAACATGTTTTTCTAATTCCCCGATATATTTTTTTTAGTTCGAACAGGAAGCGTTTTCGTCTGCGTGGTACGTTTCATCTGTTGGGTTTGTTGGGGGTTCGTATCTATTAAAAAAATCTATTTTCGGTGCGGCGTTCAGATTCGGGGGCCTCGAAGGTGAATTCGAGACGAACAGGTGGCAGACGCTGAGGCCATGGGAACGTTCCCATGGACGGGCGACCATTAATAGAAGAAGAGGGTGGTTTTTAAAAACACCCCCGCGCCGCCGACGACTAGAACAGCCTCTTAAAAAAAAAAATGTCTCTTTTTTTCTTACAAACGGGAGAGAGACAAAAAAATGAACGGCGAGATAAAAATAGGGAGAAGAAATGAAGTGGGTGAGATTTTTGCGGAAATGAACCGAAAATAAACCGGATAATCTTACATAGTTTAAAATCACAAAAAAAATTTTGTATAAAATAATTTATATTTGAAATTAACGAAAAAAAATTAAATTTGCTTTAAAATGACACCAAACTCGACGGGGTTATCTTAAAAAATAAAAAAGTTATCGCGATTTAAAAAAAAGAAACAATTGAAAATCGCGTTTTTTATTTTTGGCGTAACTCCTTCGTTTTTTGAGGTAAGTATAGGTTGTTTGGTGTCAAATTAAAGGATTTTTGATGTAGATTACGAATTTTTAATCAAAAATTAATTTTGAATTGAAACGTGTTTAAATTAATTAAAAAATTAAAATGATTAACAAAAAAATCGAAAGTTACCACCTGCTTTTGTTTCCTCCATTCATTTTTTTTATTATTGAAAGAATCAAAGAAAGCAAAGAAAAAAGGGGGTTGGATTGAAAGGGCCGCCGCGCCACCTGTTGTCTTTTTTTTTAATATTAATTTCACTTTTTAAATCAGTGCTACTACTACTACCTACTCGAAACTACTTTTTTCTTTTTTATTTTTTTCCTCTCCATTTCTTCTCCTTTTCTTCTGTTCACCCCAAAAAACCCCCCCTCTAAAAAGATTCGAGTGAAAAAATCAACAACACGTGGGGCGCAGACGTTTTGATTCTTAACATCGTTATCGTAACTAAATTTTTTTTTACGATTTTAATTTTATTTTTTTTTTTTTTTTTTGGTTAAGTTGGTATCTTTAATTTATAATTTTTAATCGACGGGGAATTAAATTCCCTTCAAAATGAGTACAAACACGGTGTCATTATCTTAATAAACAAAAAAGTTATCAAGGTTTTTATTCTAAAAACAATTGAAAATCGGAGTTTTTGTTTCTGCGATAACTCCTTCGTTTTTAATCGGAGATATGGGTTGTTGGGTATCAAATTAAAGGATTTTGAATGGGTAATTCGATTCTTACTGTTTTTCCTACCTGCGGGCACATTTTACAATTATACTTCCTGGGTTGCGGACCTCCGTTTTGCATCCCGCCCATTTTTGTCGCATTTATCGGTTGGGGAACCACCAGGAGTGCGGGGCTGGATCCTGCCACCCCCGGACTCGAGCTGCTCGACGTAGACCTGCCACTTTGGTAAATTCCCGGTGTGCCACCCATATGGTGCTCATCCATCCCTAAAAAATTAACTCAATTTAATAAAAAAATCGATTTAAAATGAAATTCCCTTTTAAACGAGTCCAAACTCGACGTAGTTATCTTAACAAACAAAAGAGATACACCGATTTAAAAAAAAAAACAATCGACGATCGCCCTTTTTATTTTTTACGATAACTTCATCATTTTTAATCGCAGATATGGGTTGTTTGGTATCAAATTAAAGGTTTTTTTGCGTACTTTCCAAATTTAATATTAGTTTTTAATAATTCGATTGTTTTTTTTTTGATTTTGCGAATTTTTAATATCAAAATAAATAATTTTATTTAGAATTTTTTTGTACAAAATGACCTTGCGGGTTGGTACACCTGCTTGACGTGTTAAAGGCGGACCCGAAACGAAACGAAAAAAAAAATCACACTCTCGGGACGAGATTCTAAAATGACGTAACGCGTCTCGTTATGTAATCCGTCAAAGTTCAGTGTACCTAAGAGAAGAGAACAGAGCCCGGGGACTTCCTATTTTGATTTTGTCTTTTTTATTATTTTTTTTTTAATAAAACGAGTAAAAGCTTACACAAATTGAAATTTCCTTTTTGCCCTTGCGCTTGGTGCTCGTTCATTTTCGCCTCGTAACCTTGCTTGTTAATCCCCATCGTGTTCCTTGACCAATTTGGATAAGAATCTTTGTCGTGTTGACCGCATTGCTAAAAAAAATTTTTTAATTATTATAATTGTTATAAATAATTATTAAAAATAGAATTAGAATTAAATTTCGGGTAAAACGAGTACAAACACGACATGGTTATCTCTAAAAACAAAGAAGTTACGGCGATTTAAAATAAAAAAACAACAGACGATCGAACTCGGTTGTTTTTGAACTTAGATATGGGTTGTTGGGAATCAAATTAAAGGATTTTTTACGTAGATTACGAATCTTTAATTAATTTTAAATTTAAAAAATTTTCTAAAACCAAAAAAATTTTAATTATTTCAATTGTTATAAATAATTATTAAAAATAGAATTAGAATTAAATTTCGGTTAAAACGAGTACAAACACGACGTGGTTATCTCAAAAAACAAAGAAGTTACGGCTATTTAAAATAAAAAAACAACAGACGATCGAACTCGGTTGTTTTTGAACTTAGATATGGGTTGTTGGGTATCAAATTAAAGGATTTTTTATGTAGAATACGAATCTTTAATTAATTTTAAATTTCGTTCTAAAATCGAGTCATCGATAATAAAAATAATTTGGGTTTTTGGGTGTCCTTAACCTCCTCCCCCTCTTTCACCGCCTCCTCCTTCGACACCTTCTTCGCCAGCCCCCCCACCCTCCTAGCCTACTCTTTTCCAAGGGTAGGTTGATTTTCTGCGTCTCTCAGACGTCGACGTCGTCGTTTGGGGTCTGTGAGCGTTTTCGGTCAGACAGTGACCTTGGGGTCGTCATGGAAACCAGACGCCTGACGACGACGGGGCAACCCCCTTATGGAAACATTGTAAAGAAAAAAAAGAGTCGACCCCGTTTGCCGCATTAACACTTGCGCTTTTCAATCCATCTCATCCCCAATTTTGGTTTCGTTTCGGTTCTTTTCATTTTTGTTTTCTCGATGTTTATTGAACCTACCGTAACGAATCCGATGTTGAATCGTAGTCGGCGGTGACGACGACGACGGCGGACGTCGACGGTAAAGTTTCGTTCTTGTCGAGAGAGGCCGTGTTTGGGTTGCGATAGACGAAAAATAAAAAAACCTTGACCTTTTACTGAATGAAACGAGTAGTAGTCGATGGACGCTCGCCGTTTTTTTTTTCTTTAGATTTTCGATTATTTCCACCGTTTTGTTTGTATTGAGGCGAATATTTAATGCAAAGGGGTGTTATCTTTTATGAGTAATGAGTTAGGCGTTAAAAATCCTTTGGAACGAGTACAAACACGATGGGGTTATTTTTAATGGTTGCTGAGTAACAAAAAAAGAAAAACAAATGAAATTTAATTCATGATTTCTCTTTAAAAATGGATTCCTTGCAAAATTTGCTTTGAAATGAACCCAAACTCGATGGGGTTATCTATTATAGTTTTCGAGATATCCTACAATTAACAAAAAAAACAAATGAATGATTAATTAATTAAAAAATGCTAAAAATTGTCGTAGATATGCCGAGTTTGTGCTCAAATTAACGGAAATTTTCTTCTCTTTTCAAATTAAGAGGTTGTTTAAGCAAAAAAAAAAAATGAATAACTTTGAAAATTGGAAAAGTTGATTGGTGTGAATCAAAATTGTTCTAATCGATTTAAAATGTCCTTGGAATACTTGGATAGGAGGAAAGAATTAAAAAAAATGATTTTGACGTTTTTTGAATGTTTTTGAAAGATACTAAGAAGTCGAAAAAGCTTATTGGTGGGTGTCAAAATGCTACTAATCGATTTAAATGCCTTTTAGGTTGGTTAATATTGACAGAAAAAATTAATAGAAGTAAATGGGACGTTTTCCAGAAAATTTGAAGCTTTTTGGAAATTGAAAAAGTCGATCAAAATTGTTCTGATCGATTTAAAAGATCTTTAGGATACTTCGGGAGGAGGAAAAAATTAAAGAAAATGATTTTGACGTTTTTTGGAGATTTTTGAGAGATATCAAGAAGTAAAAAAAGGCTAATGGTGTGTGTCAAAATGGTGCGAATCGATTAGAAATGCTTTTAGGTTGATTACTAATGAGAAAAAAAAATTAATAAAATTAAATGGGATGGTTTCCAGAAAGTTCAAAAATTTTAGAGTTAATTGGTGTGAATCAAAATTATTCTGATCGATTTAAAAGATCTTTAGGGTACTTAACGAGGATAAAAAATTGAGAAAAATTGATTTTGACGCTTTTTGAATGTGTTTGAAAGATACTAAAAGAAACAAATGAATGATTTTTTCAAATTTTTTTTCTGAAATGGTTGCGCTATGAAATTTGCTTTGAAATGAATCCAAACTCGGTGAGGTTATCTTTAATAGTTATCGAGATATCCTTAAATAAGTAAAAAAAACAATTGACGACTCATTAATTAATTAATTGTCGTTTAAAAATGTTAAAATTGTCGTAGATGGGTCGTGTTTGTACTCAAATTAACGGAAATTTTCTTCTCTTTTCAAATATGGAGTTAGTTTTATAAAAAAAATAATTGCTGAAAAGATATTAATTGTACTAAAAGGTAAAAAGAGCTTATTGGTGTGTGTCAAAATGGTACTAATCGATTAAAATGTCTTTGAGGTTGGTTAATAATGTCAAAAAAGAATAATAGAATTAAATGGGATGCTTTCCAGAAATTATAAAGATTGTAGGAAATTGGAAAAGTTGATTGGTGTGAATCAAAATTGTTCTAATCCATTAAAAACATGCTTAGGATACTTAATTATGATAAAAAATTTGATAAAATTTATTTTGACGTTTTTTGATCGTTTTTGAAAGGTACAAAAAAGTAGAAAAAGAGTATTGGTGGATGTCAAAATGGTACTAATCAATTAAAAAGTCATTGAGGTTGGTTAATAATGACAAAAAGAATTAATAGAATTAAATGGGATGTTTTCCAGAAAATATAAACATTGTAGGAAGTTGGAAAAGTTGATTGGTGTGAATCAAAATTGTTCTAATCTATTAAAAATATGCTTAGGATACTTAATTATTATGAAAAAAATTGATAAAATTCATTTTGACGTTTTTTGATCATTTTTGAAAGATACGAAGAAGTGGAAAAAGCTTATGGTGCGTGTCAAAATAATACCAATTAATTTATAACAACTTTTTAGGTATAAAATACAATAAAAAAAGGTTTCACAACGAAAAACAAACACAAAAAGTTGCCGAGCAGAAATAATAAAGAAACATTTTTTCAAATTTTTTTCTGAAATGGATGCGCTATGAAATTTCCTTCGAAATGAATCCAAACACGGTGAGGTTATCTTTAATAGTTATCGAGATATCCTTAAATAAGTAAAAAAAAACAATTGACGACTCATTAATTAATAATTGACGTTTAAAAATGTTAAAATTGTCGTAGATGGGTCGTGTTTGTACTCAAATTAACGGAAATTTTCTTCTCTTTTCAAATATGGAGTTAGTTTTATAAAAAAAATAACTGCTGAAAAGATATTAATGAAAATGTATTACGGAAGCTTATGGTGCGTGTCAAAATAATACCAATTAATTTATAACAACTTTTTAGGTATAAAATACAATAAAAAAAAGTTTCACAACGAAAAACAAACACAAAAAGTTATTGAGAAGAAATAATAAAGAAACATTTTTTAAATTTTTTTTCTGAAATGGATGCGCTATGAAATTTGCTTCGAAATGAATCCAAACACGGTGAGGTTATCTTTAATAGTTATCGAGATATCCTTAAATAAGTAAAAAAAACAATTGACGACTCATTAATTAATAATTGACGTTTAAAAATGTTAAAATTGTCGTAGATGGGTCGTGTTTGTACTCAAATTAACGGAAATTTTCTTCTCTTTTCAAATATGGAGTTAGTTTTATAAAAAAAATAATTGCTGAAAAGATATTAATGAAAATGTATTACGGAAGCTTATGGTGCGTGTCAAAATAATACCAATTAATTTATAACAACTTTTTAGATATAAAATACAATAAAAAAAAGTTTCACAACGAAAAAGAACCACAAAAAGTTAATGCGCAGAAATAATAAAGAAACATTTTTTCAAATTTTTTTCTGAAATGGACGCGCTATGAAATTTCCTTTGAAATGAATCCAAACTCGGTGAGGTTATCTTTAATAGTTATCGAGATATCCTAAAATAAGTAAAAAAAACAATTGACGACTCATTAATTAATAATTGACGTTTAAAAATGTTAAAATTGTCGTAGATGGGTCGTGTTTGTACTCAAATTAACGGAAATTTTCTTCTCTTTTCAAATATGGAGTTAGTTTTATAAAAAAAATAATTGCTGAAAAGATATTAATGAAAATGTATTACGGAAGCTTATGGTGCGTGTCAAAATAATACCAATTAATTTATAACAACTTTTTAGATATAAAATACAATAAAAAAAGTTTCATAACGAAAAAGAACCACAAAAAGTTATTGAGCAGAAATAATAAAGAAACATTTTTTCAAATTTTTTTCTGAAATGGATGCGCTATGAAATTTGCTTTGAAATGAATCCAAACACGGTGAGGTTATCTTTAATAGTTATCGAGATATCCTTAAATAAGTAAAAAAAACAATTGACGACTCATTAATTAATAATTGACGTTTAAAAATGTTAAAATTGTCGTAGATGGGTCGTGTTTGTACTCACATTAACGGAAATTTTCTTCTCTTTTCAAATATGGAGTTAGTTTTATAAAAAAAATAATTGCTGAAAAGATATTAATGAAAATGTATTACGGAAGCTTATGGTGTGTGTCAAAATAATACCAATTAATTTATAACAACTTTTTAGATATAAAATACAATAAAAAAAGTTTCATAACGAAAAAGAACCACAAAAAGTTATTAAGCAGAAATAATAAAGAAACATTTTTTCAAATTTTTTTCTAAAATGGATGCGCTATGAAATTTGCTTTGAAATGAATCCAAACACGGTGAGGTTATCTTTAATAGTTATCGAGATATCCTTAAATAAGTAAAAAAAACAATTGACGACTCATTAATTAATAATTGACGTTTAAAAATGTTAAAATTGTCGTAGATGGGTCGTG